ACTTTGGCCGTGTACATCTCTGGTCTCTAATAATTGCACTTCACAGCTTTCTTGAAAAGTACACGCCCATGTACTTTGGCTGTGTACATCTCTGGTTTTGATGATACACTTCAATTGACGCGACCAGTGAGATACACGCTCATATACACGGACATGTACTTGCCCATGTATATCTCTGGTTCTTTGTGTGTTTTAATTCCCAATATCTTTTAAAACTTTCACTTCTTGATCCTTTTTCTTGAAATATAAATAAAATGAAATTAATAATAGTAAATTTTCTCAATGAATAGCTTAAAACTCTCAATTATCATTCATGAATTATAATGTAGGATCAAGTATAGAAAACATTTATCATGAACATAGCTCAGAATTTCCTACAAAATATGTTCTAATCAGTAATTTTTACATACAAAATTCATAAAATCTAAACAACTAACTATTTAGAAAAGACTTGAACATTCTATTATTTTTATGAGTTTTCCAGCTTTCTCTATTATGTTTTCTATATCAAATGTATTAAAACTAAGGTAAAATACTAGTAAAATATAGATTTATCACCATCCCAAACTTGAATTTTTGCTTGTCCTCAAGCAAATTAAAACATATCAAGGGCATGAAATCATTCATCATAAGGGAAGATTCAAAACATAAACTAGACAGCCACACACATCCACATAAATATATCAACAAAGATAAAACCCTACCTCTTTTGAGGACCAAATTGATTCCAAAAGATGTTTCTAACTTGCAAGTGTAGGTGAGCTTGAGAGAAAAGTTTATGGAGGTAAGAAAAAGAGAAAAATGGAGAAGAAAATGAGGGAGAGAAGTGACAAATTTATTAGGGAATAAGGGAGAGCAAATATCCAAGTGGCCATAATGAATGGAGTTACTTGACTAGTTTTGATTGGTTCATAAATCTTGTGGTCTCAAATGATCCACAAGATTAATTATAAGCCATTGGATCAAGGTGTGGTGGATGGCTTCCCAACCCTTGATAATTTAAATTATTGAAACTATACCGATTTCTCTCCTAATCGGAGATCTTTTATTTACCCAATTTTTCATTGGTATTTACTTAAGTTTTACTTAAAATTTTTAATTCTAGTCTACCTAATCAACATAGATTTGAATTCTAATAAATAGTCAATTAGTCCCTTATTAACCTTATTCATGTAAATTAATCAAGAAAATCAATTAATAGCAAAAAACAAATAGTTAAAATTTTGGACTGTTACACCTATAGTTTGTTGATGAGGATGTTATGTGGTTAGAGACAATGAGCGGCCTTTATAAAGGCCGCATTTATGTCATGTGGGACCTCTTTGTAGACTCAATGTCTCCTATATTTGTCATCGGAGATACTCCTTCTCTTACACCTGAGGAGGTGGAGGACATGATTCATACTCAAGTTCATGTCCTAAATGAAAAACTCCAAAAGCAGAATGAGAAGATATGGAAGACTAAGGAGAGTGCATGAAAAAAGAAGTAGGCGGAAAAAATGGAGAAGAAGATAGAGAAAAAGGTGACATTGAGGATGCAAAGGGAGATGCAGTAGCGGCATATGCAGATGTAGCAGATGTATGTATACTTTGAGCTCATGAAAGCAATTAGCTCCACATCTCTTCCTCTTCTTCCATCAGCTCTAGCACTACTAGTCTTTAGCTCCATGTGACATTCTTTCTCCTCCTCTTCCTCTACTGATGGTGATGCTCCTTCTAATGAAGATCACATCGACTATTCATGATAGATATTGTTATTTTATTTTTGACATTATTTCCTTAAATGTTTACATCTTTAATTGTAATGACATTTTAATTTAACATTTTATAAATAATTTTTGAATTTTAATTTATAATTTTATAATTTTCATTATATTTACAAATTATGATAATTAGGAACTATGAGTAATAATCATACAAGTAAACAAAAAGTAAAAAAATAAAAAATAAAAATCAATTTGTAACTTATAGACGGATTCAAAAATTCGTTTGTATTTATTTACCAACGAGAAAATTATAAGCAACTCTAGCCCATTTGTAAATCTGTCTGTAATGCTAAAATCTGTCTATAAGCATTTAAAAATTCGTCTTTATTTTCTATATTTTTAGTAGTGAGTTTTGACATTGATACATTAAAAACTTTTCTTGTAGCATCTTCATTCAAAACTTTCCTAAATTTCATGGTTAAAAGTAGAGTAAGTTGAAAGAATTAAAATTTTAAAAATTACCATGAACTAATATATAAATACACATTAAAATGTTAAGTACTCCTATAATAATGGGACAACACTAAGGACTCATTTGGTGGCTAGGATAAGGGTAGATAGGATGAGATAACATATTATATTTATTCTTAATCAAGTGTTTGTTGACCCACAATGATAGAATTAATTTATCCTATTACCTATATGATACTATTGGACTAGTGTAATTGTTATCCTCACAAAATAGCTGAGTTAGAAGAAAAAGGAAAAGATGGCAATTATCTTCTCTAAAATATCCTTAATTCACTACCTCTCTCTCTCCTCTCTATTTTTATATATTTTTAAAATTAAAAATATATTAATTTTTTTATAATTTTTATAAATTAAAAAATAAATAACGCATACAAAGTAAAAATAATTAAAATTTAATTTAGTAAATATAGACAAAAGAGTAATTTTGTTATTTTCTGCATATTTATGTAATATCTTTCTTTTTATCAAATATTGGATATGATAAAAATTTATCTATCCTACTCTTATTGGATGGATCCTATTCTAGTCGCCAAATGGACCCTAATTCACCCTAAAATTCCAAACTAAACAATTCATAAAAAATTGATTACCTTTTGTGGTTAAGTGTTGTTTATCCTTCTTATAATTATTTACTATAACTCTTCTTTATTATAAGGAACACTAATATTTCTCATCCCTTTCAAATTAGTTCAAGTGTTCCTCTCCTTTTAAGCCTAGGCTAATTCCTAGGAGGTAAAGGGATCTATATTGATTTCATTACTTGTAGAATTTTGCATAGGCTTACTTCTAACTTTTGAGTTTTTCTTGTCATTATATAGGAGTGTTATCATTGCTAGCATCCTTTTATATTTGTATATTGCCTTTTTGGAGTTGTTTCCTTTTCTATTTTGAGATTTTTTAATCAACTTCAAGGTATAAAGTAACTTTATGAAAAGACTTCTTAGCTTTCAAGATAGCCTCTTTTCCATAATCACCTTGACTAATTCTCTTATCGTATTAATTGCTAAAATTATTTGTTGAATTATCTTTATCCATATTATTCCATTCCTCTTTAATCTTTTCCTTTTGATGATAAATGTTCTCTAAATAATATTTTTCTCCACTAATAGCCATACTTTCAATCAAAGAAAGAAATTTAGTGTAATTTTTGTATTCAATGTTGAACTCTTGTTCAAGAACCTTGGAAAAAAGAAGAAATTTCCTTTTTAAATATAGTTTAAAACAAATTCTACCAAATTTATTTCTAAATAAATATGAGTGTTATCATCAATATAAAACATAGTACTTAGATATGATTCAAATTTTCACAAAAGATTTTCTTATATAATTTTAAAGATAAATCAAGAATTCTAACTCACAACTAATATGTGAAATGCATGGATGTTTAAACTTAAATGAGGGTGTTCACCATTAAAAGAACAAATAAAGAAAAGTTCTTATTTAAATCTACAATTTTTATCTCTCCATTTCTCCCTCACAAGCTCTTCAAATGAAAGATATATACTTGATACCAAAACTCTTCCAAGAATTTAACTATCAACGTTGATTTCCACGATTTGCACCATTCTTCATAATCTTCTAATTCCACTTTATTTTTGGACAGGGAATGAATATCGTCAAGGAATCGTCCAGTAAATACCTTCCTCTTCATTGAGGATATCAAATCCTGCATAACTATTTGAACTATATCTTGTTCTTGGAGCCAAAAGTTTGTTGTTTTTTAATGCATCACCTTATCCTTATATGATGTTTTGCGCATGTCTTTTATTGATAAAGAATTTGATTTCCTAAATCAAATAAGCTTTTATATGCTTCTCTTGCATTATTCACTCCAGTTCTAATCTAGTCACTATTTATTCTTCATTCATCTTCCCTTTCTTTGTACACTAAATATTAAGGTCTTCTTCCTCTACAATTTGTACCTCATGTGATCCATGTTGCCTTATTGAATCTTAAAGGAATGGGAGAAATTCTAAGTCTGTTCAATGTTTTTATTTTTTTGTATTTATATATATCTAATTTACCCATATACATATATATATATATTATTTATACTCCGACTAATTCATTAAATAAGTATCTTAACCAAATGATTCCAGAATGATAAACAAAATTAAGTACGATAATTTTATAGATAATTTTGCATCATAAAAATTTTTAAAATAAATTTTAAATAAAAATAATAATTTTTATAAATTATTTTATTAATGATAAAAAACTTCGTTCTTAAGTTTGCTTTTAATTTTAAAAACTCTTAACAAGTATTATATATTACATATATTTATATACCTATATCTATCAAATTTTAAGTTTTTATTTATATTTTGACGGAATTCATTAAACAACTATTTATTTTACTAATCATAATTTTTTATAATTTAAAATTAATTTTTTTTATCTTTTCTCAGACTATTAAAATTTTCAATTCAATCTAAAAGATGTAATTTATTACCTTAAATTAAATATAAATTTAAATTAAGATATGTTAATATATATATATATATATATATATGTATATATTTATAAAATCAAGTTATAATAAAATAAGCATCATTTTAAGTATCCTTAGCGAGTCCTGAAACATGCACCGAAATAGCATGAAAACAGAGGCAGGGTGAGTTGCGTCGTGCTCACTTGAACCTCTGCCACGTACTCCAAAGGTGTCAAACACCATACCACGCCTCGCCTCTTGCGCTCATCTTTTGTTCTGTTTTATTTAATTTTTCACACTCTCTCACAGTATGTTTAGAAACTGAAGTTGAAGATGGACCCTCATAGCCTTATGGCATCGGCAGCCATAAACATAGGGTTGGCCCTAATAATTCTAACGCTCTTCTCCATGCTGAAGAAGCAACCTTGCAATGCTTCCATATACTATGCTCGCTCTCTCTCCCACCGCCACCACGTTCCTTTCCACTCTCCTTCTTCGGTGCACCGTTTCCTTCCTTCAATCTCGTGGATTTCTCGCGCGTGCACCGTCACCGAAGACCAGATCGTCCAAGCTCATGGCCTCGATTCTCTTGTCATCATCAGGCTCTTCAAATTTGGGTCAGTTACAACTTTCACTTTTTTCTGCTGTTCAAATTTACCATTTTTTGTGATTACCATTCGTTTTAAACGTGAATGCTTATTTAAGAATTCTGGCAAATTTAACTATTTATAAATCATTCTGGAGTTTTAATTAAATAATTTTTATTTTAAATATAAAGAATTTTTAATAAGAATTTAAAAATTATTTTTTTAATTACTATTCATGATTTTTTTTTTTATATTTCAGTCTCAAATTATATTTTATTACTGATTTCATAGTTTTAAAAGAAAAAGTAAAACTTTTGGTCCAAATACAGCTCAACAATTTATTTCCTATTTTATCACGTTAAACATTAAGTTTTTTTTTAATTTTAATTTTAAATTTTTATATTTTAGTTTTAATTTTTAAATTTTAAATTTATTTCTTTGCTTAATTTTATTTAATTTTTTCATTAAATATGTAAATTTTAAATTAATAGTATAATATATTTTTGAATATTTATTTAAAATTTTAATTTAATTTAATAAAATCTGTCCCCAGAAAAATCACTGACCAAAAATTAAATGAAGAGATTTTATTTTAATTAGTTTTTATTTTATCTTCTTTCTATTATTTTCCAGTCTTCTGGGTATTTATACTCCCGAAAATGCTTCAGAGCCTTTTCTTGTTTTGATGAGAACGGTAAAAAAAATTTAGATATTTTGATCTGATTTTTATTTTAACACTTTTTGATACAATAATAAAGAAAGAAGAAGGAAAATAGAAAAGAAAGAAAGAGAAAAAAAAAAAAAACATAAGGAGGGTAACGATGACTTTTTTCTTTTATTTTTTTCATTTATTTTCTAATTATTATATTTATAAAAAATTCTTTAAAATATTAATAAAAAAAGCTTACACGTCACATTTAGTTTTTCAGTTTACAAACACAGAAATATTTTTAAATGATCTAATTAAAAAACTTGACAGTTTCCTAATCATTCCTGTCACTGACACGTGTGCCAATAATCATTTCTTGTCCTTTACTATCCTTTATATTAACTGTGCTTGCATCCCTCTTGCTCCCGGTTAACGAGGTAGCCTAATATAAAATCTACGCGCGATCTAAAGAATTGACATAGGTTAACTTTATTAAAATTATGCTTTTAAGGCCAAAATATATTATTGATATATCATGTAATCTATATTTCTGCATTTAAATTGAAAGGGCAACTTTTCGATATTTATCATGGAATAGTAACTTACTGTAATTTTCTTAAGGATATATATTTAAGATCAGTGAGGTTGGAGAAAAAAAGGTAAGATATAATTTTTGATTGTTAATAAATTTTTTTATTTGATGTTTCTAAACGAAGACAAAAAAAAGATTGAGATAACTTAATTTCTATATTTTTATTTTATAAATATTATATAATTTTTTAATTTAACAGTGAATATAAAACTTCACTGTTCTCCGAAACACAGTCAAAGGGGTACCCATGTGCTGTTTACATGTGGCATGCAATACTAACCTTGGTAAATTAAATTTCCTGCATTTTGCTTAATTTTACTGTTTTATTCTTATTTTTATTTATAAAGTTTTGGTTTTGCAGTATTAAGTTTTTTACAGTGTGTTCAGTTGTTGGGTTGGTGGTACTTCTCCCGATTAATTATGGTGTCTCGGAGGTTCAGAATGGGAGCTACTCTACAATGGATTCTTTTACAATATCTAATGTTAAAAGAGGCTCTAGAAGGTGAGATTATTGTGACATATTTGAATGGGCTTACTCACATGCATCTAGTTTTTACAAATTGAGTATGGTAATTTTGAATCTCTATCTTAAAGCACAGATAAGTTTAATTGACGTATTTTATTTTGATCAAAGCATAACAAAGCTGATAGACAAAAGTACATGATATTCCTGTTGAAAAAGAATGACATCATTACAAAAAATTAAGGAGAAGGATTTGAGAGAAAAATATTCAATTTTTTTGAGCACAAATACCACAAAGTTGCCCCATGTGATTTTTGTCTCTCTCTTTTGAACTTCTTTTCCCCTTTTAACATTAACTTCAGAAAATTTCCTACAAGAAAGTATGGAAAAAAAATGCTAATTTCAATAATTTTTAACAAATAATAAAGAATATGTTGCTAGCATTTTTTATAACTTTGCCTATTATGAACTAATATTTTCAACTTTTGACTTTTAACCAAAGAATGTTGAGTGAATAAACCATTCTTTAAGTTAATTTATTCTTAAATTGAAAATATATTCATCAACATATCCTAATTTGTAATTTTCCCCATATATGTTGCTGATTCTTTGGAAAAACCATGGACTTTAATGAGTATGGGAAATGTTGCACTTTTGTGGAGTTTGGAGGATGTTAAGTAGATTGAAGAGGAAGGCAAAGGAAAGGCTTGGGGGAAATTCTCCTTAAGTCCTCTCCGTTGGTCATTATTTTGGCTATTTTACACCATATTTTTTTTATCCTGTTATTGTAATTTGTGATTTAGACCAAATGTTATTGTGGTTCACACTTCTGACTCAAAGCTTTAAAACTGATCTAGTTTCATGATTTTCAAACAGGCTTTGGGTTCATTTTGCTTGCTTGTGTTTTATATCTTTCTACGGGATGTACCTGCTGTATAAGGTGAAATTCTCAGGTTGATATCTATTAGCATTATTGTCATAAAACCCTTCTTGGATGCATTATGTTTTTTATTGACAAGGTATCCAAAATTGTGCAAACTATAGAGGGATTAAACTTATGAGTCATACTATATAAAATTGTGAGAAAATGTGATTGAACATAGATTACAAGAGAAAACTTCGATAGCAGAAAATCAATTTAGCTTTATGTCAGAAAAGTCTAGAACAAAAGTTATATGGGACTTAAAAATCATGTAATCCACTTTATGCACGGTGCCTATATAGGTCTTTCTTGCATGTGACTAAACTATCTTATACGACTTACATATAGTTTTTATTGACATGGAAAAGGCGTATTCTTGAGCTCGGTCAAAAATTAAGTTTTTAGAAATCTAATAACTAAAATGTCTCTTTCAATAACTTCATTTAAGGTTCTTTTGGGTCTTTCTTGTTCTCTTTATACGGGACTTAAAAGTCATGTAATCCACTTTATGCACGGTGCCTATATAGGTCTTTCTTGCATGTGACCAAACTATCTTATACGACTTACATATAGTTTTTATTGACATGGAAAAGGCGTATTTGACATGGAAAAGGCGTATTTAAGGGTCTATGTAACATATATTCAACTATACAAGACATGTATGAGGGGATAATTATGTGTGTGAGAATTTTTAGAAGTGTATTTAAGGACTTCTCAATAGGGATAAATTTACATCAAGGCTCCACTTTGACTCCTTACTTATTTAATCTTGTGTTAGATGTGTTTACAAGTGACATACAAAAGATTATTCCTAAATGTATGTTTTTTGCAGATAAAATAGTGTTGGTTGAGGATTCAAAAGAAGATGTTAATGCTAAATTTGAGTTATGTAAAGAGACTTCAAAATCTAAGTAAGGCAAATTATATGCTGTTAGGGATCGAATTCCAAATGGGATAGAAGTGTATAAAAGAAAGAAATTCAGGGGCAACTTGGGAAATAGTAAGTCGGGAGAGGGGTGTGATCCAGGTGAGCCCAATTCTAACTAATTGTGAAGACGTGTGTGTGTGTTTTGTTGAGGGGTGGGGCGAGAGAATGATTAGTAAATATTCTGTTATGAGAAAAGGGTATAATTGTTGGCTAGTGGGAGGGAGAAAGGGGGATTTTTTTGAATTAGGACTTGGAGTGTAGGAGCTGCTTAGTGCTCCATTTTTTTCATTCTTGTTACTGCATTTGTTTTTTTCTGATTTCCTTAATACCAGACATTTCTTGCTGTTTCTTGGGTTGTTTATATCATTTTGGCATTAGAGCTGCTTTTTCTGGGAGTTGTAGGGGTCCAATTTTGCTGAAGCTGCTAATGGAGAATCGAGCGGAAGAGCTGGAGAAGAAGTTTGATGAGATGTTGCATCTGTTGAAGGAATCACGCCGAGCTCGTTCACGGGATCGATCGCCACAGCCACGGAGGAACCACCGAGTGGAGCTGAGAGACCGATGGAATGAGAGTTCTAGACGAGATGAGGGGTCACGCTACTCCCCTTCTCTTCGTCGCAGCGAGCTTCGTGATTTGGGGTCTTGGTACCGCGATAATTGAGGCTCCCCCACTCCCACGGTGGTCACTCACACCATTGGGGTGGCCCTTCTTGGGGTAGTCAACCATCGAACTCGCGTCGTGACAGCCCCCACCGCCAGTGACATGAGCTAGATAGGAAAATGGAACTCCTTTTATTTTCCAAAGATGCATTGGGCTGGCTGGTGAAAATCGAAAGGTATGGGAGATGAGAGAATGGAGGTCATGATCTTAGCATTGGAAGACAAGGCGCTGAATTGGTTCCAGACGTGGGAGGAACAAATTTCATGTTTGTCATGGAGACAGTTCAGAGACGATGTGGTACGGAGGTTCCAATTAGGGGTAGTGAAGGACCCCACTGGCCCCTTGTTGAGATTAAATCAATTGGGCTCAATTATGGACTATATTGAAGAATTTGAAAAAGTCTCTGGGCCCATGAAGCATGTGGACTGAGAGATCATGAAAGGTATCTTCATTAATGGGTTGAAAGGGGGACTGAGAGCGGAAGTCAAGAGCTTAGAGCTGGGCTCCCTAGCTGAGGTTAAAGATAGGACTCTCATGTTAGAAGAGAGGAACACAGAATGGAAAGGAGGAGAGAGTCCACTGAGCAAAGTTTTGGGCCAAGTTAAAGGCCCAAATATCAGTAGAGCTAGTCCATTTCGTATGTGGAGTGGGCAGCAAAGAGAGGGAACAACAAGACTTCCAAAAGGAGCGAGTGGAGAGAAGAATGTCATTGGGAAACGCCTTTCCCAAGAAGAACTTCAAGAGAGGAGCCGCCAGGGTCTTTGCTTCAAATGTGGCAAAAGATGGGGACTAGGTCATGTATGCAAGTTGAAGCACTTTAAACTCGTGCTAGTGGAAGACTTTGAAGATGGTGAGTCCAAAGAAGAAGATGACAAGGAAGTTCAAGAGGATGAGGTCACTCTAGAGTTAGCGATGAAGTCCCTTCGAATCATACTGAATAATCTTCAAAGATTCACCACTGTGAATAAATCTTTCAAGGTGAGAGGGACAATAAGGGGCAACGAAGTGATTATTTTGGTGGATACAGGGGCGACGGACAATTTTTTGTCTAAACCTTTGGCGAGGCAACTTCAAGTGGAGGTTGATGATGTGACGACCTTCACTGTAGAAGTGGGCACGGGCTAGTTGACAGAAAGCTCTGGGTTCTATGAGAAAATCGAGCTTGAAGTGCAAGGAGTAAGAATAATCCAACCCTTTTTCTTGCTGAGTTTGGGAAGGGTGGATGCAGTATTAGGAATGGGGTGGATTGTGAGTTTGGGGGACATTCGGGCTAATTTTCAGAAGCTTGTGATCAGTTGGGAGGAGGAAGGGGTGTCGAAGTGTATTCAAGGAGACCCCTGCTTAGCGATGGCCAACACTTCGTGGAGAGCGACAATGAAGGCTCTGAGGGGTGATGGAGAGGGGTATTTTATTGCCTCTTGCACTAAAAAGGAAGAGGAACAGTCAGAGCAAACTCTTGCGAGAAATTTTTGGCAACTGTTGGATGAATATGCAGACATTTGCAAGCAAACGGAAGGGCTCCCTCCCCCACGAGAATAAGACCATGCAATCAATCTGAAGGAGGATGCAGGACATCCTCGGATAAGGCCCTATCGATACCCTTATATCCAAAAAAATGAGATATAAAAAATTATTGGAGAGATGTCAAATTCGGGAATTATTAGTCCAAGCAACAGCCTTTATTCGAGTCCAGTGATACTAGTCAAGAAGAACGATGGGGACTTGAGATTTTGTGTGGATTATCGAGCCTTGAATAAGGTAACTATTCTGGATAAATTTTTCATTCCCATAATCGATGAATTGCTGGACGAACTTGGGGGCCTAGAATATTTTCTTAATTGGATTTAAAGTCAGGGTACCACCAAATACGAATGAAAGAGAGACATCGAGAAGATAGCATTTCGAACGCATGAGGACATTACGAATTTTTAGTAATGCCCTTTGGCCTAACAAATGCACCATCCACATTCCAAGCATTAATGAATAAGATATTGAAGCCCTTTTTCCGGAAGTTTGTTCTTAACTTTTTCGATGATATATTGTTTTTTAGTAAGACGGAAGAAGAGCATCTAAATCAGTTACAACAAGTGTTAGAGCTACTGAGACAACATACTCTCTTTATTAACAAAAAGAAGTGTTGTTTTGCCAAAACAAAAATTGAGTATTTGGGGCATATCATTTTAGGGGGAGGAGTAGCAGCAGATCCCAAAAAGATAGAAGCCATGTTAACATGGCCTGTAGCTACTGATTTGAAAGGGCTGAGAGGTTTCCTGGGAATTACTAGTTATTATTGAAGGTTTGTGAATGGGTATGGGAAATTAGCTTGGCCACTTACCTAACTTCTAAAGAAAGATGGGTTCAAGTGGGGTACAAAAGCTTAGCTGGCTTTTGAGAGACTCAAGCAAGCAATGACTACACTTCCTGTTTTAGCGACCCCTAATTTTGAAAAGCCATTTATAATTGAAACAGATGCTTCAGGAAAAGGAGTTCTAATGCAAGAGGGACGCCCATTAACTTATCTAGTCAAAAGCTATCAGAGAGGGCCCAACAAAAATCAGTTTATGAAAGGGAACTCATGGCTATAGTAATGGCGATCCAGAAATGGTGTCACTACCTGCTGAAGAGAAAATTTGTGGTACACACTGATCAGAAAAGCTTGAAGTTCTTGGTCGACCAAAGAATGATGGGTGAGGGGCAATAGAAATGGGTGGCCAAACTGCTTGGTTTTAATTTTGAAATAAAGTATAAGGCGGGAAAAGATAATGGAGCTACTGATGCTTTATCCAGGAAAATGTGCTTTGCTGCCATTTCCAGTGTTACCTTCCAAGATTGGGATGGACTAGAGGAGGAGGTCCAAAGGGATGAGAAGCTGAAACAGATTATGCATGATTTACTGCAAGGTAGTAAAATACAGCTGGGATTTGAATTAAAAGGGGGCGTTTATTCTACCAAAAGAGGTTAGTGATACCCAAGAACTCCCCTAGAATTCCCTTACTCTTGCAAGAATTCCATGACACTGCTTTGGAGGACACTTGGGTTTTTTTCGTACCTATAAATGTATGGCAGGGCTATTGTGGTGGGAAGGGATGAGAAAGACTATTCAACAATATATTCAGTCGTGTGAAACTTGCAGTAGAAACAAATATCAGACTTTGTCTCCAGCTAGATTGCTTCAGCCATTGCCAATTTCCTGTAAAGTCTGGGAGGATTTATCAATGGATTTCATAGGGGTCTCCCTAAAGCTCAAGAGGTGGATACTATCTTGGTGGTGGTAGACAGACTTACTAAATACTCCCATTTTGTTAGCATTTCGCACCCTTATTCAGCTAAGGACATTCCTAGCATTTTTGTGAAGGAGGTGGTGCGACTACACGGATTTCCACAATCAATAGTCACTGATTGTGACCGGATTTTTATGAACATTTTCTGAGTTGAATTATTTAAGCAGGTAGGAACTAAATTGAAATTTAGTTTTGTGTACCATCCACAAACGGATGGGCTGACGGAGGTAGTCAATAGGTGCTTGGAGACATACGTAAGGTGTTTTGTAGGAATCAAGCCAAAGCAGTGGCCAAAGTGGTTATGTTGGGCTGAATTATGGTATAACACCACCTACAGTTCAGCCACCAATACTTGCTCATTCAAGAGTTTATATGGGAGGGAACCACCCCCATTGATCAAGGGAGATGTATCCCCATCCACAGTGGAGGAAGTGAACCACCTGTTGGCTGAAAGAAATGTCATTTTAGATGAGCTCAAATGGCAACTAGACAGGGCTTAAGTTCGCATGAAGAACCAGGCCAACCAAAAAAGAAGGGATGTGGAATTTGCAGTAGGAGAGAAGGTCTATTTAAAGATCCAACCTTATAGGCTGCGTTCCTTGGCCAACTATGTCAATTAGAAACTTAGTCCAAAGTACTATGGACCATTTGAAATGCTAGAGAGAATTGAAAAGGTATCGTATAAACTTAAACTGCCTGCTGAATCCATGGTACACACAGTTTTTCATGTTTCCTTACTCAAGAAATGTATAGCTCCCAATGTCAAGAGCCAGTCTCTCCCAGTGGGTCTTGCAGAAGATTGGGAGCTGAAATTACAGCCAACTGAAGTGATGGCAGCAAGAAGAAACCCCCAAGGAGGATTGGAAGTTCTGATTCAATAGAAAAATATGCTAGAATTTGAGAGCTCATGGGAACTAGCAGTTGACATACAACTAAGCTTCCCTCACTTCCACCTTGAGGACAAGGTAGTAGTTCAAGAGGGGTATTGTTAGAGATCGAATTCCGGATGGGATAAAAGTGTATAAAAGAAGGAAATTCAGGGGAAACTTGGGAAACAATAAGTTGGGAGAGAGGTGTGATCCAGTGGGCTCAATCCTAACTAATTATGAAGACGTGTGTGTGTGTCTTGCTGAGGGTTGGGGCGAGAGAATGATTAGCAAATATTCTGTTATGAGAAAAGGGTATAATTGTTGGCTAGTGGGAGGAAGAAAGAGGAATTTTTCTGAATTAGGACTTGGAGCGTAAGAGCTACTTAGTGCTCCATTTTTCCATTCTTGTTATTGCATTTGTCTTTTTCTGATTTCCTTAATACCAAACATTTCTTGCTGTTTCTTGGGTTGTTTCTATCATATGCATTGTATGGTTAACAAAAAACAAGACAAGGATCATGTGTTGGAAGTTAAATTTGGAGATGATATTATACCATAAGATTCTAAGTTTAGGTACTTAAGGATCAATTCTACAGAATGATAGAGAAATTAATGAAAATGTTACTCATAGAATAATTTGAATTCTGTATTGTATTGTATTGTATCAATATACACTATAATTTACATGTATATATAGCAGTCTAATCGTAATATCTACATGAGATAATATCCTAGATTATTTTCTAATAATCTTAGAGATAATGATAAATAAAGATAAGTGGTATGGATGTCTATTATTTTCCAGATTGCATGAAAGATCTTGGAACTGCTCACTTGTCAATGAACATTGTTATCATCTTGTACTTAGATTTTGAGGAGTCCAAGATGTGTAAATATTCATCCAATCCCTGCAATCACAGAATGACGCTCTCATTCCTTGTCTTAGAAGTAGAAATACTTGAAGTTGACTTTATTCCTTGCGCCACAACAATTGGCATCTTGTTGCAAACCCAAATTCATTGATGAAGGTGGGTAAACGATTGAATCTAAGGTTCTATTGCAGCGTGATTGCGGTGGTAGCTAAGTTGTTTCCTCATCCATGTGTACAAGTCATGTCACGGCACCCAACACAGATGGTGTTAGACACCTTGACAACAAGGAACAAATTAAAATGTGAATTTAGTCGTATATGAATTTAGACACCTTGACAATGAGGAACAGATTATATTGGTTTGTTTAAGCGAATTCAGTAGGTGAACTGATCTTCTCTAAAATTAAGTTCTATCCAATTTTTCTGTGTACGAGCCACGTGTGCAAGCCTTTCCATGTATACAATCCCCATCATCCAACACAAATGGCTTAGATGGTAACTCGATGACAATGATCAAATTAAAGACATGTATAGGGACCCAATTACAAATTTTAGGCATAGAGAGTAGAGACTAAATTGAAAACGAGAGACATGTAGTGGGAGAAATTCTATTTTAATCTACCAACAAATAATGATCAAACAAATGTGCTTGTGACTTCAGAGAATTGGAGTATTTATGTTGCATAGAAAATTTATCACTGATTCAAGTTAACCTTACTGTTGCCTTTATGAAAATTTCATCTCCAGGAATATGATGAAATGTTGATTCGAAGGATCAAGCAAATTCAAAATTTAAAGCAAAGACCTGATCAATTTACTGTCTTGGTTCGTGAAATTCCATTATGCAATGAGCACAAGACTCATGGCTGTTGTGTTGATCATTTCTTCTCAAAACACTATCCGAACACTTACTTTTCCTATCAAATGGTGTACAGCACAGAAGATCTTGAGGAGTTGGTGGTAAGATATTCCTATTACAATTTTCAATTAAGAATTCTCACAGAGTGTATATATGCTAATCATGAACATTACAAAATCTGTTTGAGATGCTCTTATGTCATAATTTAAATCATGCTACTTAACATTTTGGAAATTTCATGCTGCTTTTCACTTATCATTCCATGAAATTTGAAGAAAACAGCAATGAGAAATTCTTCATTACTGTTTCCCTTCCAGTTTTGTTCTTTCTGCATATGGTCAATTTTTTAGTACAACTTTATTTCTGAAGGACTTGAAGTGGTCAGAGACCCATGCCATGGGTGGGTATGGCTTCGTCTGGATCACAACTTCCATCATGGAAGTGAAATAACATGACTTTTTGCTACAAGATATACTAGAAGATAACATGTCCTATCCTGAGAGATGCAGAATGCTTCCACCATGTGGATCATAGGCAATATTTTTAGAGGAAGCTTTAATGACATTGATAGTTTTGTAGCCTCTGACGAGACAACAACAGATGACTTTTTCATCAACTATCCATGAACTATATAATTAAAATTTTGAGTACTACAAAATTGGAATAGCATAACAACAACTCCCAACAAATTATCCATATCTTGAATTTTGCAAATCAAATAATACTTTTATTTGTCTGTTGTGTACGAAAGTGTTAAAATGAAATTTGTGAACCTAATTTTAAATGGTAGGATATTTTTATCCTGTGCTTAGAGAATAGAGATAGTAATTGTGATAAAGCACTTTATTTCTCAATGCCCTGAGATTTATAGCTGTATAATTGTACATTTCACTGGCTACCTTCCTTTGGAATATATATTTTATAAAGTGTATTGATTGTCCCCAAAACACGTAAAGTCTTTTTAGATTGAATGGAGCTTTTAGTTTGCGAGATGGAACAGATTATCTTAGTTTTATTCATTTATGCCAGAAAAACCGCATATTTTGCATTTGCTCAAGCATTAAAGAAGACAAATTTTGTTTCAATTTCTCTAGTGTGTAATGGATCCTCTCACAGATATTGTAACATGTAGAATCAAGCAAAGTCTCTTGCAAGAAAAATAGAGTTAAAAGAAACTTCGCGGGCCAGGAAACATAAGATGTTGTCACTTTTAAGTTTATCACGTCAAGAGACTTCAGAAGTAGCTTTGTTAGAGGAAAAGCTTCAAGCACTTAGTCACAAGATTCACCAGTTGCAATGCAAAGACATGCTCCAGAAAAAGGTAACAGTTTAACATATAATGTTTACTTGTACGTTATTTTGAGTAGATTTTCATATAGAAACACTTCTATTTCATTGTGTATATGATCTTTAATCTCCTACTCTGATAATGTTATAAAACTGCTTTTTTCTTCTATACCAAAATTTAGACAAGTCAAATATTTTTTGTTTTAATTTCTAAGCTTCAAAAAGAAGGAAAAATAGGCTAGCATGTTTAAGTGTCTAGTGAGAGTGTGAGACGTCCCTATTACTTCTATCTCTATTACCATTTCAAATACTAATGGTAAAATCTGGGGGATAAAAAAAAATTCTGATAGAAACTGAATATATTTATTATTGTATAGCAAGCAACTCGGGATATCCCTGATAATACAAGGAAAGTGCTGAAAAATAACAGAAGAAATAAATATTGCAATGCAGAAAGCAATGAAGCTGTTCCTATGGTTACCACCCCTCCCAAATAACCTCCCTGGTGATGCCTTCTTCTCTCTGATCAACAACCATATATCCTCCCCCTTTGCCCCCCTTTCCCCCCTAACTCATCCACGTCATTCTTTCTATTAGAATCTTCCATAACAGCCTCCTTGCCCACAATCCCCATTCTACCCCTCCTTCTCAGGTATGTTTTTAGTGGAGGCCCACTTGGCTTGGGCCCAACAATACCCCCCATTGAGTTCTTTTCCTTTTTAAGTATTTTACCAAAAAGTTCAAAAATATATTTAAAACATCATTTAAATTTGAAATAATCCCAAAAAACTCCAGAATACCCTATTCATATGTTCTTAAGCTATTAGAAATTTTTTCATAAATTTGGGAATATCCTAAAGCCAAAATAATAAACAAAACAGTTCTATACTATCCAAAACTGTAATCTTTCCTAAAAATTTGCAAAAATTCGTTTTTGTACCCAAGCAAAGAGACAATGAAAAATTTTACTTGAATAATACTATAAACAAGTCATAAAAACACAAATCAAGGGTTAAAATTTCAGTTCATGCCTTTAATATTTGTAGAAAACAACACTTATTTTAAGATAGAAAACATTCAAGTTTGCAGAAAGTTCCCAAAAATTATTTACTAATTCCAAAGCATCAAACCACATGTACATATCACAATAACATGAATATAACACGTAGCAAGCAAAACCATTAACAAAATTCCATTAAAATATCCTTTTTCAGTTTATTACGGTTTTTCTACAAAATTTCCTATTTTTACTGATTTAGTGATTTTCTTGAGTTTTCTTTTCTCAATCAAATTTTTTTCATATGTCCACCAAGGTCACGAAATATTCATCACATAGAAAGGGTTAAAGGTTCTCTTTTGATTCAAAAAGTCATTTAGCAAAGTATCCTTGATTTTGGTAGGGTGGTGAGTGGGTGATGGTCTCCTCTTCCTCTTACACTTGTTAGTATATTCGGACCTCATTTTTTCTCTTCCAAGTCAGCCTTTCACTTGTCCAATAAGCTCCCAAAGATTTGGAATTTTCCTACTTAATTGTTGTGGTGGGATAGTTGATGTTTGTCTTAGCTTTTCTAGAATTTTTCAAGTGTTTGGTCAAGAAGTGGGTCATGTTTAGTGATGTGGGGTTTCTTTAGGATATGTGGGTTGGAGTTTGGCGAAGTTTGGAAACTTTTTCACTTTCTCTTCCTTGGCTTCCTATTTTACGTGAAAATGGGCTCTCTTTGGATAGGGGTTTTCAATTTTTCTCTTCGCTCTCTCAATGCTGGGACATCATGACCACTATTTATACATTATGTCCAGGAGCTTTGTTTTTGAAAGTGTCCCTCCAATCAGCTTGCATCTAGGTATAAAGAGGCTCACAAAAATCTTCCTAAAATTGGCAAAATTGGCTTTTGAGGTGGCACTTTCCTTATCCCTTTGTAGTTGATTTGGTTAGCCTTCAACCATGAGCTAACCAAGTCTGGTCCCTCCTCCTTGTTTACCTTAATCATTAGTTAGTTTAGAGGAGAATCTAGTTGCAATTAAGTTAGGCCTAATCGGATAACATTATCAAGTGTCATTTCTTATGACTTTTGATGAGCCAGGTCATTTCTCCCATTGGCTTATCCTATCCAACTCATTCTTCACTCAATTATGGCCAATTTTGCTTCAATTTCAAGCTACAAACCGTGCACAATGAGCTGGATTGGATAGGATTGAGAAATTTGGAAAATTTGCCTAAAATTCTAGCAATTTCACGTTATTTTTAGGCCAATTTTAGAGAATTTGGTTTGACTTTTGTACTCAAGTTTTGGGATTAGTTCTTGAACGTCCAGCCCACTCTTGAGTCATATATGTGCCATAAAAATGGGCCAACATTCTTGGTCTTTCTAGAGGTATTTTGGTGATTTTGACCAAAATTTGCAACTTACATTCATTTTCTATTTTAGTTTCTTCCCAACTCAATATAATTCTTGTAACCTTAATTTAGATGGTCTAAAATCATTTATAGTATTTTGGTTATTAATCTCTACTAAAAATTAGGTTACACTTGATTCTTCCTTAGTCGGCTCTGTTTTTAGTAGATTTTGCTAAGTGTGTTTTAATTCCTACCTTTTCATGTATTATCTAATTCTAATTTGATTAGAGTGATATGATCAATAATTAATTTAGAAGTGGTGAAAATTTTGGGTGTTACATCTAGAATAAAATTTAATTTCTCTCTGTTTGCAGATGCATCTTGGTTGCATACTGCTGGTAATCTATATGGAAATTTATTATTTCTCTCAATATTGCATGGGTTTATATATGTATCAATAGGTAAATCCATCTCTATTGAAGAATTTTGCTTTTGATCTGAAAATACTATATTATTTCGTACTTCATCATGTTTTACCACAATCAACTTGTTGGTCTGTTTATGTTTAAATAGAGAAGAGCCTTAGTACAATATTTAGGAATATAATGGTCCAACACCGACGCCAAATATAAGGTTCCTTTCTGGTAAAATCAATATATAATGTGTATTTTGTTAAATACCTTGTCCATATAGTTATTTGGATATCTTGTGCAGTTGTGTTTGCCTATTTACTTCTTCGAAAAGAAAATGATTATAAATGTTCATTGAAGGTTTTATTAATTATCTGATTACTAAAACTGAAAACAAAGTATCTTGATTTATCTCGTGCATTAGGAGTTGCCTGTTGCTTTCGTAACATTCAAGTCCCGTTCTGCTGCTGCAGCAGCAGCTCAGTTGCAACAGCATTCACATCCACTTCTTTGGATCACTGAACATGTCCCAGAACCAAGGGATGTTTCATGGAGGAATATGAAAGTATCCTACAGAGTAGTGCCACTTTATAGACTAGGTGTTCTCATTGCTGCATCACTACTTACGCTTTTCTTTGCCATTCCTGTTACTGCTGTTCAAGGAATAGCCAAATATGAGAAACTGAAGAAATGGTTTCCTCCTGCCATGGCTGTGCAGTTGATGTGAGAATCATACACTAGTTCTGGCCCTCTTAAAAGCATTTGCTCATACTTTTTGGTTGAATCCCAAACTATTGCATAAATTTTATTATTTTAATTTTAATGCAGGAATGACTGAAAAGATATTCTGATAGAAGCTTGGTATCTCTATTAGAAAAAATGAGGAAAAAACTCTATAACACAAAACAGGAATACACACACTGCAGAACTTTGAGGGTCTGCACCTCCCAATGCCAAAAGGCCCTAATTTCCTCATACAGATCACATGATATTCCTCTCGAATCTCCCCTCTTAGTTATAGGAGACAGTATTCAAATTAACTCACCTAACTAACTAACTCACTCACTAATGTAACTAACTAATGGTTAACTAAGTAACTTATTTTAACTAACAACTAATGAGGGTTAACTAACAATACTTTCCCCTTAAACACTCACCTTGTCCTCAAGGTATCTATGGCAGCTGCAAAGCATAGTGGTATCAGGGTCCCATTTGTTTGAAGCATTATGATTAAGCCAACCCCAATACTGCAGTTCCAAAATAGTCTCAAGCCCTCCTGTGTCAAACACAAACTTGGCTGCAGTCAATCTCCTCCAATACTTTGTTTTCTTCAATATTTTTAGCCCTGAACCAGAGGCATCATTGCCCTGCAATTGTAATTGAGAACCCAAGGTTTTCTAGGCAAATCATGATTCGATGTCATCCTTTCATTACATGTGTTTCTGCAACTCACAACTCAAAAGATGGTTTCCTTCCACATAAGCAAACTTGTTTTCAGACCTCACAGCACCCAATTGTCTCTCTATCTCGACTACTTGTCCCAATCCATTGAATTTCCTCATCTTTGTTTGTCTTTTTCCCAAGATTTCTTTCCATGATTTTGTTCATTTTCTTGGACAATTGCATATTTTTCTACATTTGTTTTTGGTCTCCAAGATTCTAGTTCTTTTCTCTCCAGATCATCGTCACCTTTTCTGCTTTCTTGCACCCAAGATTCTTGTTCCTCATCCCCAATAGATGCAAATGATTCTGGATTAATATTCAGGTTGAAATCTCTTGAGCACCGCCTTCACAGTTCACAATGGTCCGCCAATTTGTCTTTTGATTACCCTGTTTCCAACAAATCCACCAATTGAGAGCAGCATCTCAAAGCTGTTCCAGCCCAAGATTTTCCACATTTGAACACTCCAATGGCCTCAAAATACTGCTCTACATTGGTCAACCACCAATAAGTTTGCTCTCCATCAAATGTTGGAATCATCTTCAAGATTTGATACCGACAACTCCAAGATTGGAGGTCTTATACCAGTTGATAAAAACTTGGTATCTTTATTAGAATTAGATGAGGAAAGAACTCTAACTTACAGAACTAAATATACACACTGCAGAACTTTGAGGGTCTGCACCTCCCATTGCCAAAAGACCTAATTTCCTCTCACAAATTAAATGATATTCCTCTCAAATTTCCGAAAATGAAAACCGTGACAATTCAGAATCAATTAATACAGAGGTAAATTTCTGGAAGTATATAGAGACTGAAAGGTTTTATCATCACAAAAAGGAAAAGGGAAATTGTACAAATAATTTTGTGTGCATTCAAGAATCTTTGTTTACCTTTTCATTTTACATTCTTATTAATTTATTGACTAGTTCCTAATGTGGATGATAGAATATTTGTTAATTTTTTTGACATATAGCATATTATTCATTGTTTAGACCAGGATTAAGCTCTATAGTGACAGGATATCTTCCAAGTGTTGTCCTAAAAGCATTTATATACATTGTGCCATTTGCAATGTTTGCTATGGCAAAAGTAGCTGGATGTATTGCAAGAAGCAAGGAGGAGATCAAAGCATGCAACATGGTTTTCTACTTTCTGGTTGGAAATGTGTTCTTCTTGAGTGTGCTATCAGGATCCCTTCTTGATGTACTTGGACAATTTATTAGTAGTCCTAAAAATATTCCTAGTCATCTTGCCAGAGCTGTCTCTGCCCAAGTATGTTGTTTTCTTTTATTACTCCTGGCATTATCTGTATAATTTGCCAAAATTCTGTGTTTCTCTTCATAATATGTTTGCAAAATGCTGAGACTTTTGTTTCCATGAATGACTCAGGCGCACTTTCAAGAATTATGTTATGTATCCTTGAAAATGTTATGCTTATAATAGTCTACTAATGAGTTTGACTTCTTATGTACTTTGTTCCAGGCAGATTTCTTTGTGACATACATCTTGACAGATGGTTTGTCAGGGTTTTCTTTGGAAATTCTCCAGCCTGGCTTACTATTTTGGGATATTTTGAAGTCTTGCATTAATGGCTGTCAACGAGAGAGAAGTCCTTATCTTTATTCATTGCCTTACTTTAGAATAATCCCTTTAACCTCTCTGTCAGTTCTAATTGGCATAGTGTACGCAGTAGTGACGCCATTGTTGCTCCCATTTCTTATCGTTTACTTCTGTCTTGGCTATGTTGTCTATATCAACCAGGTGAGTTTGTCAATATCTTCTTCACACACTCATTTATTGGGTTCTATAAAACAAATTCTCATACACACAGAAGGACATGCTCTGTTACAGATTCTTTTATTTGTTCACTTTGAAAATAAACCATCTAGAATGAGACTTTGTGATTTTATGCTTCGTTTGAGCAAGCAAATGTGGTAAGAGCACCAATCGTTTTAAAAGAGTATAGAATGTATTATTCCCACGAAAATTGTCCCTAAGCTCAATAATTTACACAAAATGCAACAAAAAACAAACTAATCAACATGTTCTTGAGTTTTATATTAGAATTGTGTTGAAAAGAGAAGTTTCTTATACTAGAAAACAATTTTGGAATGAAAGTAACAAAGTAAAATTCAAATCACTAGAAGAATAGATAAAATCATGGAAGAAAACATGCAAGAGCAACTTGAAATTTCAAGAGTAATGCAGAACCATATGAGATAATGCAAGGGAATGCAAAATTTTTATGAAAACATGCAGAACAAAATGATGCAAGAAAGAAACAAAACAATTTAGACGAATGAGATACAAGTCAGATATGAAATCACAATAACAAGATTGGATAGGAATCAGATTTAATCCAAGATTCTTACTCATGCAGGAAACATAATTTCATAGTTTCATGAATTCATTGCATTATCTAACTCTCTAGTATAGTAAAATCTAATGTTTGGGTATCTTACACTATTCCTCGGTTAGAAAATCCTGATGGTTTGGGTAGCTTCAACTTAGAATAAGAGTTAATAACATTCATATCAACCTCTAACTGCTATTTCTAGATAATTATGAAAATGAAGAAGTTTACTTCAGATCTGAACATATCAACCAATCTGTCCATTGTGCAGAAAGTCTCTAAATTCATACAATTGAATGACCAATTCAACAAAACATTAAGTACACAAGTAAAACTATACAATCATCAAGAAAATCTGAATTAGATTCAAAACATTATACAAAATACAGAAAAAATGAGTAAAGAATAAATTTCTGAAGAGATATTCTCTATTGAAGCTCGATCTGTCTCTAAAGTATCTCATTTCAATCTTACATAAAGTGAGAGGAGACAACTTTCATTTTGAATTTTGAATTTCTTACGTCAGGAAGTGGGGACATTGACAATTGAATGTGAAGGCTTGCACAACTTTCATTGCTTCTGAATGATTCTACAGCTTGAAAGTGAGGACATTGAAATTCGAATATTCTGTTTTCTGTTCCAAAATTCACTTAGAGCTTCTAGATTCTTCCATTTCTTCCTTCTGAATTCTCAACCTGAAAATGCATAAAAAGTTTGATAAATTCAGCTAAGGAAAATGCATTTAAGTGAATTTTCTCCTCCATCTATTCATTTATGCATAATTAACCATTATTCATTATTTTTAATGCATTTTTATTCATTTTGTTTTCAATTTTTGCATGATTAGTTTTATATATCTACTTAAAAATGCAGATTTATCAACCTGATACCTTTTTCTACGCTGAAGGAATGTCATTATTTTAAGTTAGATTTGGCGGTCATATATCCCTTTTGACACTGAAGTCTAAACAGGCACCCATTAGCAATGGCAAATCTCCAATTCACCTCACATATATAATAGAATTACTCATTTTTGTCTTTCTATAAATGTTATCTTAATTAGACTTACCTTTGCAGATTCAAGATGTGTATGAAACTACCTACGAAACCTATGGACAATATTGGCCATATATTCATCACTACATTCTCCTTGCAATCATTCTGATGCAGATTACCATGATTGGTTTATTTGGACTGAAGTTAAAACCAGCTGCTTCTATAGCAACCATTCCGTTACTTTTGTTGACATGCATGTTTAATGAGTACTGCAAGATGCGTTTCCTCCCTTCCTTTCACCATTATTCTCTAAAGGTAAACTTAATTCCTCACAATTACTAACGAGGACGAGGCTATATATATACTATAATAAAAAGTTCTGAACATGAGTTTTAAATTTATCATTGCATGTTTGATTATGATGCACACTAATTGTTTATATTTATATATGTAATGATTTGCCATATCTTACCTGAAGTTGTATTTAATTTTATGGTTAGGATGCTTCTGAAAATGACGAGCTTGATGAAAAGTGTGGTCTATTGAATTTCCACTGTGAAAATGCAATCAATGCCTATTGTCCGATAGGTTTACGACCAGTGAATTTCGTGGCATCAGAATCCAGCTCCATGCCATTAATTTCTTCATGATCTTTCATTTTGCATTCGTGTTTCATTTATTTTCAATAAGAAAAAAACGATAATGAAAGTATATGTTGTTTTTATTTGCAGTGATGTAAAGGGTGAAAGGGGTCAAAAAGGAAAACTTAACTTCAAAAATCGTATTTTATTTATATGCAGTGTAACTATATATAAAACAAATCTAAAACAGAATTGGTAGATAAAAACTACGAACAAATTATTCCTAAAAGAAAGGAAAGAAACAAACTTTACAAATAATCAACATGACTTTTATTTCAAATAGCATAAAAATTGAATTTGCAAATTTATTGGGGATACAACAGGCATATCATCGACACTCCTCTTCAAAGAACTATAAACTCCAAGCTTTTGGAAGTGTCTTGGTCAAAATGTCAGCATTTTGATTCTCAAATTATTGATGATTGACATTGCAGCCTGATTGTTCACAAAAATGTGTTTTCTTCTTGTTCCACATGTAAATTTGTTATAATTTTCTTAATCCAAAGAGCCTGATTCACAGTAGCTACATACTCCATTCAACAGTTGATTGAGCTATAACATCTTGTTTTTTAAAACACCAAGAAAAAACTCCAGATCCAAAAGAAAAACAGTAACCAAACGTGTTTCTCATGTCATCAACATAACCTGTCCAGTCATTATCAGAATATCCATGAAGCTTAAAATTATGAGAATAAGAGTACATCACATCATAATCTAAAGTGCCTTTAATATATCTAACAACTTATTTGGCAGCTTGAAAATGTATTTTACTAGCACAATGCATGAACCTTGAAAGTAAATTTATTGCAAACAAAATGTCAAGTCTAGTTACAGTAAGATATATTAAGCAACCAATCAAGCTTCTATAATGTTTTTCATCAACTCTAGTTGGTAGCCTATTCAGCAAAAATACAACAGTGCTTGCTACTTCTGTCCACAGCTTCTTTGGCAAATCTTTCTCATGTAACATATACCGCGTCGTCTTCATGATACTTTTATTTTTACTCTCACTTACATCATTTTGTTGTGGGGTGTATTGCATTGTAAGTTGGTGTTCAATGTCAGGTTTTTCACAAAATTTATTAAAAACGTCATTTGTATATTCTTTTTCATGTCAGACCTTTTTATTTGTAACTTGCAACCACTTTAATTTTCCACAAATGCATTTAAAGACAATACTCTCTGAGGTCTCCTAACATCTGTATGAATTAATTGTAGCCTTTAAGTTGCTTTCTAAGTGCTTTGAGGAAATGGTTTTCTTACTAGCTTACCAAATTGGCAAGCCACACAATCTGCCAACTTGTCTTCAAGCATCGAGGCACCTTTCACCAACGCATGTTTCTGCATGTATAACAGTCTTGCAAGATGAAAATGTTCAAGTCTTTTGTGCCATAGATCTGCATTGGTGGTTGTGCTTGAAAAAGTTATTTGCTCCTCCTCCATCAAATTTAGAGCATAGCTATTAGATCTCATTTTCACTTTGAATAATACATCTTTGCTTTTTGAGTCTTTGATCAAATACCAGTTATCTTCAAATGACTTTGAAGCCCTTTTTTCACAAGTTGTGCAACACTAAGCAAATTTTGGTCAATGTTAGACACATATAAAACATCAGAGATATATTTCAAACCTGTCAAGCTTTCAATAGCAATGGTTCCTTTCCCTTTAGGTAAAATTATTGTTTCCAATTTTTACTTTGGATATGGTGGTTTTGTCAAACTCTTTAAAAAGCTTCTTGTCATTGGTCATGTGGTTTGTGCAGCCGCTATCTATTAACCATGAGTCACTAAAACAATTGGTTGTAGCGAAACATGTTACAACAAAGAGTTGCTCATCTTTTTACTCCTCTAAAGTCACATTTGTCTCTTCTGATTTAGACTTGCAGACTCGCTCTACATGTCCCAAATCACCACATTCTCTACACTTGATATCTGGTCTCCACCAACATTTTTCCTTTGGATGATTTGTTTTTTTGCAATGTGGATAGGGGGAAAAGTTCTCACCTTGCTGTTTGTTGGTGCCTTTTAGCTTTTTGTTCTCCCATTTGTTGTTTTTGCCACTTTTGAATTGTGTGCTTTTACACAAAAAGCACCTTGTATAGTCTCCTTTTGTCTCATCATTCTTCTTGGCTCTTGTGCCTGTAAAGTTACCGATTCTCCTAAGGTGATGGTTGACAGGTCTTTTGATTCCTCCAATGCTGATACCTTTGATTCATATTTTTCTGGTACAGTAATCAGAATTTTTTGAATTATTTTTTCATCGAAAAAGTCTTTCCCAAAAAGCTGCACTTTATTTGCTATACTCATCAATTGACCAGCATAGCTTTTAATTGTTTTTGTCTTCTTCATGCTCTGCATTTCGAATTCTCTAGCCAAGTTGAGCACTTGTATGCCTTTGGTTCTTTCACAACCAGAATATTGTTTCTTGAGATAATCTCAAATCTCTTTGGCAGATTTTGTCACAAACCTTTTTTATAAGGAATCGAGAACATTATTTTAACACCACTTACTTATTCAAGATAGATAAATAATGGAGAATATAATTATAAAATTCACTTTTCATTCCAAATAAACAAAGTTCCTCACAACAAATACCCAACAAAATAACATAATATTACATTTAGTTTATAATACTCAAAATAAACAAAAATTATAGTACATATCTCCCTTTATATGAGATTCTCAAAATATAAGGAAAATGACTTTAATGCCAAATTACTCGACTCTAGCCTTCTAACACTTCTCCAATGGCCCCTCAGCCTATGAAGTAGATGCAACACCTGCTACATCCGCTCATGTACCACCGTACGATCATCACAATACACACACACAACAACAACAGAGACAAAAATGCAAGAATTAGCTTCCAAAAGAAAAATTACACACACACACACACACACACACATATATATAGAGCAAAATATTACTCATAGCAGCAGCTCCATGCATTCCCAACTCATCTAATGCATAACATGAAAACGATTTCAACTAGTTTCACAGCCTAAGTAATCTAGAAGGAACTGAGCTGGTCCAGGAGCGACCCATTTTGATATCTAGATTCAGATAGCACAACACAACACAACTCAACTCAGCATGCTCTATCGTTATACGTCTACCCACCTAAACGTGTAACTCGACTCTATAATAATGCAAGACATATATCTTAGCATGATGCAACATAGACAAAATCATATTCTTAACAGCTAAGCTAAAACAATTCATAATATTTTAGTCAAATTTCAGCTTTTAAATCAATTAACAGCAGTTACAACATAGAAAATAGCTTTTATCTATGAGATTTGACAAAATCATCTCAAAACTTCTTGTAATAATATATCAAATCGTTTCAAATATCGTTTAATAGTTAAAGTAAGCTCCCCTTACTTTAGAACAACGATTCACATCAGATCTACCGAATATTACTTATTTTAAGGCAAGATCCACCGAAGATTTAGCTCTACAACGAAGTTTCTCCTAAGATATCATCAACTATCTATAAGAAAGAGAAGAAGGACAGAAACGAACTGTAAATCTAACTTCAAACTTATAGAAACTTACTTCAAATCCTTGAGAACAGAGGTAGAATCTCAGATCTAGTGAGAAATCTAAGTTGAGGAGAGTTTAGTATGAGAGAAAATGATGATATATGGCCTTGGATCTCTCTAGAACCTTTGAGAAGGGTAAAGAAATGAAAATTTCATGCAAGGTCCCCTATTTATAGGCAAAATTTGGAAAAAAAATTTTGATACTGTTCACGCTGGAGTTACTGTTCACACCGCAATATTGTTCATGCCAGATTTACTGTTTCTTTTTTCTTTTTTAATAATTTCAAACTCTATCTAAATCTATTCCAATATCAAATAATCCTTCAATTAACATTTAACAAGTATAAAACATTATAGGTTACTCAACAATAAATTTACAGGCCTAACATATTTGAAATTCATAATTCTTGTAAAAATAATTTTTGACACAATAGAAGAAAGGCAATTTTTTGCCTTTTCCTTTTTTCTCTTTCTCTCCTTGTGATACTTCATTTGAGCTACCGTTGGATTTTCAGGCAATACAGGAACGTCATAATCTTCTTCTACTGCCTCCTAAAGATCTAATGCTTCAAGATGACAAATCATCCTTGCAGCCCATAACTCATATTTCTCACCATCAAATTAGCGGTGAACCCATTGTGTATGTGTTTTCCTCTCTCAACTCACAGATCCCTCAAAGATAAAGGCTCTGATACCAATTTGTTGTTTTTATTGGTATTGATATAAAGGGTGAAAGGAGTCAAAAAGGAAAACTTAACTCACTGTGTATGTGTTTTCCTCTCTCTCAACTCACAGATCCCTCAAAGATAAAGACTCTAATACCAATTTGTTGTTTTTATTTAAATTGATATAAAGGGTGAAAGGAGTCAAAAAGAGAAACTTAACTTCAGAAATCGTATTTTATTCATATGCAGTGTAACTATATATAAAACAAATCTAAAACAGAATTGGAAGATAAAAATTACAAACAAGTTATTCCTAAAAGAAAGGAAAGAAACAAACTTAAATAATCAACATGACTTTTATTTTAAATAGCATAAAAATCAGATCTACAAATTTATTGGGGTTTCAACAGTCATATCATCAACAATATAGAAGGAAATGCCAAAGGACATGGTTAGTTCAAGGAATTCCAAACAAATGTGTGAACCATACACTAAATTTTAACTGTTATGCAAGATTAATTTATTTTAGAAATGTTGGAAATATAGAGAAATATTTTTGTATTTCTAAATATTCATTTAGAATAAAGGAGTACTATTTACAATGAGGACCTTAAGTAAAATAAGAAAAATGTGCAAGGTACCATCAAATGATATCTCAAATGAAAGCTAATTACACTAATTACATTAATTACAATAAAAGCATTATTGATGTTGATTACAAATAATATTGAACAATATTGTAACATTTGTCTTCAAATTCATATAGGTACAGTGAAAATCAACTTGAGTTTGGAAATTAG